AAAATTACTTTTTATTGAGCTTGGCTATTATAACAGAATCTTGCAAGTCTGATTATGCTATACCTGCTCTTCCTTCTTATAGTTCAGCATACTATGGAGATGTCTGAGCTGCTTCCAAATGTTATCTAGTTATTTTGCACTTCAGTCCCTTTTGCCTAGGTAATAGTGTGTCTGTATCAAGTTAATTTTTCTTATCTTCAATTGGATTGCAGCGTTAAAGTGTGGGTTTCTTCAGCTGTATTTGTTTATATAACCAAATTAATAGCTGAAAGTATGATTGCATACATATAGCTCATTAGTATTCAATATTCCAATAAAGGTAAATTTATTCTGTTCTCGTCCCTTCATAGTTAAAATCATTAAAAGCAGAAACAAATGACGTTATTGAACCGAGAAAACAAACAAGTTATTACAACTCAGAACCAAAGAATAAGAGTCAAAGAATAAAAACAAAATGCGGATTCTGATTTTGTGCCAAATCCATGGTTAAGGTATCAGGTGAGCACACCAAAAGCAATTCGTATCTCTCTCAAAAGCCAAACATCTACACTTGAAATAGGTGGATAATTTAACACCAACACAGCAAAGGAGGAACAGTAAAATATCAAGAAAACATGAAGAAAATAGATAGGAGTTATCTTCAAAAGGAAATGACAAGGAGGGGCAATATAATAATCTCCAAGTTCCAAAAAAGAAGCAATTGTATTGGGATTTAAATTAAACCAAAATAAGAGAGCTGGCCTGGATCCAGTAATTAGTATTGCAGGCAAGGACAATGCAGACTCCAGGTAGTCCTTGTCTTGTGACAATTGAGCCCAAAATTTCTGTGGTTAAGTGAGACATTTGTTAAGTGTGTTTGGTCCCATTTTATGACCTTTCTTGCCACTGTTATTAAGTGAATTGCTGCAGTTGATAAGTTAGTAACACGGTTGTGAAGTGAATCTGGCTTCCCCATTGATTTTGCTTGTCAAAAGGTCGCAGAAGGGGATCACATGACCAGAGGATGCAGCAACTGTCATAAATATAAACCAGTTGCCAAGTGTCTGAATTTTGATCATGTGACCATGGGGATGCTGCAACGGTCGGAAGTGTGAAAAACAGTCATAAGTCACTTTTTTCAGTTCTGTTGTAACTCTGAATGGTCATTAAATGAACTGTTGTAAGTTGAGGACTACCTATACATCTTTCTGCTGCACACAATAGGCCATAATCTTATATCTTCCTGACAGTGACGACAATCAACCAGTGGAACAGCCTACCCCCAGAAATCGTGGGCACTCCATCACTGGAAATTTTTAAGAGACTAGACATTTACCTGTCTGAGATGGTATAGGTTCTCCTGCTTGAGCAGGGGGCTGGACTAGAAGACCTCCAAGATCCCTTCCAGCTCTGTTCTGTTCTGTTCTGTTCTGTTCTATTCTATTCTCACTTTCTAACTCTAAGCATGTACAAATGTTTCTAGTAATTACATTTTTCTGGTAACTGGCATATGGCCTTATCAGTAAAGTGAACTGAATTGATTACTCTCTGTAAATGCAAGTAACTTTAATCAAATAACATTGATTAAACGTAGTGCTAGTTCCCCAAGGGTACAATCATGAAGAATTTGCATTATTATACTGCAAAATGTCCATACTGTGAATACTGTCAAGCACACCCTTGTCTGCAAATCATTGCCCACAGACTTTTTCCAATATAGAAAATGACTGAGGACAAATAGCACTCAACACATTTTAATAAACATAAATTAGCAACAAACTTTAATCATTTGATAAAGTATAAAAAGACTAATCCTTCTATTGTCTCTTTCTTCCACTTTCAATCCATCAATCAGAATAGAGCTGGAAAGGACCTTGGAGGTCTTCTAGTCCAACCCCCTGCTCAAGCAGGAGACCCTATACCATTTCAGACAAGTGACTGTCCAGTCTCTTCTTAAAAGCCTGCAGTGATAGAGCACTCACAACTTCTGGAAACAAGCCATTCCACTGATTAATTATTCACCCTCTTAGGAAATTTCTCCTTAATGCCAGGTTGCTTCTCTCCTTGATTAGTTTCCATCCATTGTTTCTTGTCCTGCCTACAGGTGCTTTGGTAAATAAGTTGACCCCTCCCTCTTGTGGCAACCTCTCAAATACTGGAATACTGCTATCATGTCACCCCTACTCCTTCTTTGCTCTAGACTAGCCAAACCCAAATCCTGCAACTGTTCTTCATATGTTTTAGTCTCCAGACCTTTAATCATCTTAGTTGCTCTTCTTTGCACTTTTCCCTCATATTCCATTGCCCTGACAGTTCTTCATTTAAATGGCACGTATCAGGATATCCACAGTTTACACAACTCAAAGAAGGTTTCATTCTGAGTGGCATTAATATCTTAGTTGCCCTAGGTGACATGTTCAGTCTGATTCCGATAGCTGTTTATGAAGATTCTATGATATCAGAAGCTCAGCTAGTCTCAAAATTGTATAATCACAAAACTGCAAAGAGCAGCAGAACCATCAAAAGGCTTGAGGCTGCTGAATTCATTATGCAGCATTATAAAAATATTTTTTTAAAAAAAATGCATGGAAAAGATCAACTCATAAAAGAACTTGGCATGCTGCATGTTATATGTTTAAACTCTTAATTTCACAGCAAGAATTTTATTGGAGGAACAACCATTTTCCTCTCTTTATTCTTCTAGCTACAAGGAAAGTTAACATGGGAATGGCTGTTCTGATGCTTCAGCTTCTTTCAGTTGTGCTGTTCTGAAAATGAAACCTAATAATACATGTGCACAGCAGAAAATGGGAAAAACATTTCATTTTTGTGATATTGTTTTTTTTCTTGCCAATAGACTATTCACCTAGCCAAACTGGTTATTTTCAAAACAAAAACATTTGCAGACAGATTATTATTCTTTGTGCAGGCGTGTGTTTCTGTAAAAGATGGTCAGCTACACCCACAATTGTTTTCTATGATAAATATAGCTGACCAGCAATGCCCTTGTTGTCTTCTGGACTCCCCATCTCAACACTTTTGGGCATCACAAAATTTTACTACTGCTGGGAAGGAAGGAACCAAAGGCTTCAACTAACCCTCACCTTCCTATTCAAATGTGGAAAGTTAGCCCTTATATAGCAAACTGGTGCACTGGCAGGAAAGGCCACAATTCAATGACAAAACAAAAATGCTCGATTCAGCAGAATTCTGTCTGAAACTATGGTGATCCCCAGAGGTTGTTGTTGTTAGTGTATGGTGTTGTTACAGTAGTCAGGAAACCACAATGCTATTGCAGAGTAGCAGTTTGGCTTGCCAAGGTACCACCCCTGTTATAGGAAATGCTTGTGCACATAGGAGGGAGAGCTGACTTTGTACCAAAGAAAAAGACAAGCAACTCTTCCTGCAATGTCACCCAACCCAAGGCCCTCTTCCTTCCCGGAGCTGTCTCGCAAGCAGGCGCCACAACTGGGAAAGTTCAGAGCCGTCAGGAATTTGACTGCCTGAACAGAGCACCAGCTCTTCTCCCTACCAAAGTGATACCTATCTATCTACTTGCATAACATGTTTTGAAACTGTTAGGTGGACAGAAGCTGAGGTGAGTGACAGGAGCTCACTCTGCCAGACAGACCTAGGGCTCAAACCACCGGAGCTGAAACCATATCTCCAGCATCATTAAGCCACTGAGCCACTGTGTGTTCCCCAGGAGTCACTGTAAGTATGATGTTATGTGGATCATGGCCTGACTTGAATCTTGTTCAAGTGCTGAGGCTGTTACTTAAAACATCTAAAAGAGTTTCATGATGTGTCTTGATTATTGAAAAGGCTAAGACAGTGTTAAAAGGTTAGCAAGGAGAACAGGGGTCATACAGGTTTGGTAAATATAACAGTTAGCATATGTGGAACTGATTCCTCCATGTGCTCTGAATTTTAATTCCCAAACAGGTTTTGTGAGATCTTTCCAGGTAGAGAATTTAATGATGTACATATAATTCTTTTCCTCTCTCACGGGGGCCAAATGCAGACTATGCACAGTTTTCCAAGCCAAATGACTTAGAACAAGATAGGAAAACAAGAGAGAATACTCTCAACTAGACAGAATTAATGCTGTTCTTTGTACAGCAAGATAAATGACAAAGGACTGAAGCCAAATCCAAAATTGATAAAACAGGAATGTTTCCAAGAGGAAGAAGAAAAGAGCTTGTTCATTTCCGATACATCAACCACAAATGGGATCCAAAGAAATCATCTAAAAATGGAGAAATGAATGCACATTGACATCTGTGAGCATGATCAAATCACAAAAACATTGTTGGCTTATTGCACAATCAGCCAGATGTTTAGACTGGATTTGACATTTTTATCCACATATCAAGTCCTTCCCAAGGACCTGGGATAGGCAGATATTGTTTAATCATTGAGGTATTGTTGCAGGATGTAAGCTGTTCCAAGTAAAGCTGCCTTTTGCAATTGACTGGTGGTGATTTTGTCAATGCCGATGGTGTTTAAATCAGTGGTTCTCAACCTTTTTAATGCCGCGACCCCAACCGGTCGTAAGTCGAGGACTAAACCGTCGTAAGTCGAGGACTAAACCGGTCATAAGTCGAGGACTAAACAGGTCGTAAGTCAAGGACTACCCAACCGGTCGTAAGTCGAGGACTTTCCCTGCCCGGGAGCGCCACGCATGCGTGGTTCCGCCCCCTGCGCCGGCCGAGGCGTAGCTGGCAAGCGGCAGAGACGGAGCAGGCCGACCACCAGCTGGCCCAGTCCATGGGAGGTAAGGCACCCGCCGGAAAAGGGGAAAAAATGGCGGACAAAAAAATGGCGGACAAAAAAAAATGGCGGACAGCCTTGCTTGGCGACCCCCATGAAATGGTCGATCAACCCCAAATGGGGTCCTGACCCACAGGTTGAGAACCACTGGTTTAAATGGTAATAACAGATCCCTTTGAACTCTATTATTCTGTATTTAGAAAAAAAAATTGAAATGGAAACAGTATGGAACAAAAACATGTACTTACTTGACAGAACTGTTGTGAGGAAGATGTAATCGGAAAAGGAAATCAAGCCACATTCTCCAAGGGCATAAAAGATGCTGTCTTCATCAGCAAACTTCTCACGTTCCTGGGAGATTCTCTATTTTAAAAGATTACGAATACCACAATCCCAACAGAGGAAAAATATATTTAATTAATAACAGATCACAGCTTTAATACTCTATTATTATTGCCATTATTCATTTTCTAAATCCCTTCTATTACCATCCAGATACCTTTCCAGCCTTTAAATCTGTCAGATGGGCTTTTGGGGGTTAAAATATTAAAACTAAGTCCTCTTCTATCTATATTTTACATAAATTTCAATCCTTATTTGAGTCTAAATCTCTCTGCATACCGGAATTATTTCTAAGTGAACAGGCTAGAATTGTCCTATTTAACATTTTCAATCAAAAGCAAATCAAGATATGCCTTGTTTCCTTCTAATTTAGTAGTAGGTATTTTAAAGCTTCTGTCTTGCCATTTTTAATACATAGTGACCAGAAAGAATTTACTGATGATTGTTTTGGAGAGCTTTTATACTTCTATGCACAGATAAAATACTGCCCACCTCTTAATTTGATTATGAAATAGGAAGCAGGTTACAGCACTTGAATTTAATAGCAGTGTTGCACTATGATTATATGAACATTGCAGGAAACCAGAATTAATAGTACCACGTATTTTTTAAAACTACAAAACTGAACTAGCTTTGAAGACGCGATTTAAAGGATTTGTCTTAGCTATGATTTCTGGCAAGATGCACATAATGCAAAACTCTTTTTAACAGTAGGATTGGGAAATGCTATGGTAATGAAAATAAAGGTAAAAGACCAAACCTAATCTCAGTGTCATGATTAAGAGGCTACAGTTTATCATCCACTGGTAATTGTAAAGTAGACAGACCTTCTGATCCAACAATTTCTCTTCTTTCTCATTCTATCCATGCATTTAATTAGTAAACAGGAAGCTATTAAGTCACTTTGCCTTCTGAAGTTTTAAAGGCCAAAAACAGATGCAAAAATTGGGTTAGAGAGGTTAAGTTCTATGATTTTAAAGTAGTTAATTTTTTTCAGAAGTATTAGACATTTTTACAAGCACCACACACGCACACACACGCACACAAAGAAGAAACAGAAATATTTAAAAGGATCAAGTGAGTTGTGGTTAATGTATATGAAACATGCAAGCACAGGAGCACATAAATCACAAGCACAAATTTAAGAGAGTATTAGGGAACAAAAGACACCATCAACAACACACCAGGGTCCAGTTATGCAACTGTTCCCTATCTGTTACCTCTGTCTAGCGAGGATCCCATCATATATGAGATAAAGGAAAGACAATTTGTTAAGCAATGACATTTAAAGCACATTGACATCATCATAGCATCATCTGTTGCATCTGAAGAGCAAAAAACATTTGAAACAATAATAGCCAAAATAAGAAATGTAGAGAAAGCATTGATTAGAAACTGAGACTGAGATTTAGATGCCATCAGATGCTATCATTTTATTTCTGTCTGAAGTACCAGAACTGGAGATAAAGCCATAATAAACTAATCATACTGAGAGAAAAGATAATCACCAAAGTCTTTTTTTCAATAATTCTATCTCTTAGGATTGCCAAAATATCAAGGGAGAACTCATAACAAGAATCAGTGAAAATATTTTAGGGAGTGAGAAGTAGCAAAGTTGTAACTTATTCTGCAAAATACTGATACCAGTATTAACTCATTATATTTATGAAGTCCTTGGTTTTCTCTGAACTTGGTGGCTTTCAAACATTAAACAACAGTCTAAGGAAGGAACCACCAAGAACACTCCCATCAACACTGACAGCAAGCTATTAGTATATAAAAAAGAATAACACTTCCCTCTCCCCACACTCCCTTCTAGCACTGATGATGTTACCTAGGTGGATAATGAAACATCTGCAAAAAGTTAAACAAGCTCAAAGAGCATCAAAACCCGCACAAATATGTAGTTCATATTTGAACTACAAATATTCTCTTCTGTCAGTATCTGTCAGTGTCATTATATTTATTCTGAAAAAATCAAAAGGGAAAGCTACATAAGGATATTGTACAGTATGGCCAACATTTTATACATACAATTGACAACATCTGGAAATAATGAGTCATTGCTTTCTAAGATTATGAAAACTGCCTAAAATCAGAACTCTGTTGTTTATAGTATTATGATTTCAAGATTATGCAATCATATTGTTACTACTCCTATCTCTTGTCATTTTAGTATCTCTTTAGTATGCAACTCTAACTGTAAAGAAAGTTCCATTGAAATGATGAGATTTATTTCTACGGAAAAATAGATTGCAAATTTAGAGAGACAGAACTTTAATTAAGAATTTAAACACATTTAAAGGCATTCTGTTTGTAAAACATTAGACCAAAACAATATTTATCCCATGATTATTTACAATTTTCTTATGGCATTCTGTATCTTTGTTTACATTAGGAGTAGTAACAATATATATTTCATATATACTACTGCTAAGAATATCCACCTTGTATTATGAAATTCTAAATATCATAATGAATGAGCTTCTGACAACTTGATGCAGTTCTGTGAAATAGACAATACTACAGGAATGTCAGTAATTCAAACACATTCTATTAAAAACCAGTTTCTCTTGTGTAAGAATGTGTTTTATGAATCTCAACACCATCTTCCTCATCTATCATTCCAGCACAATGCATTATTACTCTTGAATCAAATGCAAGTTATTCACAAAGCAAACATGCAGGTGTGGTATAATCCAGTGGTGGCGAACCTATGGCACGGGTGCCAGAGGTGGCACTCAGAGCCCTCTCTGTGGGCACGCGTGCTGTCGCCCCAGTCCTAGGCCTTCAGCTGGGTTTTATAAAACCTTTTCGCTTTAGGCCTCCGCCGCCTTGTGCAAAAAAAAAAAAAAAGGTTCAATCAGTCAATTTCAACTTCTCGCGGGAAAAAAAAGATCTTGCAAAGTTGGAATTGATTGATTGAACTTTTTACTCCCACCCAGTCTGCTGTTACCACCGCAGCCACGCCCATCCAATGGGCCACACCCACCCAATTGGCCACACCCACCTGGCACTCAACGATGTATAAGTGGGTTTTGGGTTGCAGTTTGGGCACTCAGTCTCTAAAAGGTTCGCCATCATTGGTATAATCAGTGGTAGTAGTAGCAGTGGTAGTAGTAATAGTAGTAGTAGTAAATGACATGTAGTTAATGCTAAGTAGATTAGGCTTCTCTTAATGACTTGCCATTGATATCAGAAAGACTAATAGTACATTCTGCTCCACCCACATAAGTCCTCTTTGCACCTGGATTCCAAATTAATTCCTACCTGTTATCAAGTTAACTATTTTATAAAGTTCCTGTTTATAAAAAGGGAAGCATTACTGCATAAATGTGATGATTATTATTTTTTTAAAAAAAAAGTTTGGCCTACTGAAAATATTTATATTTTCCCAAATTTATAATTCCCAAATTAGCCAAGTCTGTTCAATATTGCTTGAAGCTCATTGTCACACTAAACAATTCAATTCAATCCATTTAGAATTTAAAATAATATTCCTAGTAAAATGAAAGCTACTCTAGTCATAGAATACAAGCATCTAGAAATAATCATAGTGCAACTGAATAATATACCAACTCCCTTTTTATGACCCTGTAATCTCTTAATTCGGGTCAGGGCGACTGGATGGAGCTGAGCTTTTACTGGCCGGATGCCCTTCCTGATGCCAAGCAGAGTTCGCAGAAGATATTTTTTCTTTGCACCCTAGGAGAGAAATAACTGATGCTACCTAGGATTGAACTCTCAACCTTCCAAGTGGGAGGCGAGCGTCTTCACCACTAGGCCACCACACTGCTCAGCTGAATAGTCTATACCAACACGTAAGACTAATGCATATATTGTCTCTATTGCAAAACATATATAGCCAAAGATGTGACCAGTTAAATTTCAGTCAAGTGGATTTAGACAAATGTTTCCCAGACTTGGCAATTTCCAGATATGTCAATTTCAACTCTCACATTTCTCATCAATGACCATTCTAGTGGTGGAATTCTAAGATTCCAAGTTCACACATCTGGAAATGGTCACAATTGGGAAACATTGATTTAGACCTTTAATTAAATGATGAATAAAAATTAAATTCATTTTGATGACAATGCTGGGTATGGACCAGGCAGGAACAGAGAACAAATGTTTTAAAACAAATCACTAAAGGTCTGATTGTTAAAGTGACAACAAATGTATTCATATGTTCCAAAAGAGAAGTTGATACAGTAGCATCTAATTGTTGTAAGGAATAATGTATATACTACTATATAGCATCCCAAAGTACATTTACATATATGGCTATATCAGTGTCTTCTGTATCAAAGAAAAAAAGGACTAGGGGTTTTAAAACTACAATTAAATTCAAAATAGGATTGCCACATTTAACCTCACAATTTATGGACAGTTCAGTCATTACATAAACAGAGCCAAGCACGTAAGATTCCAAAAGCACAGATATTAGTAATATTCTTTGGGATATATGAATTATGAAACACCAAATATAAAAAACATGCCAAATAATTATATCACTTTATTTCCTAGTACCACAAATTCAATTTCAGAAATTGAACTAGCACATTAATATTATTAATCATCACAACAATGCCTATTCCAATATACCCTTGGTCAGTGTACATTTAACAAGCAGATTTTGCAATTTTATCTGTGTCTCCAGATTTATTTATTTTTTGAGGACACGTATTTGAAATGAAAGGAATAAATTGCATTAATTTAGAATCTATATTATTTTTTTTAAATTCTGGCTTTAATGAATTAAGGAAAATTAAGGGAGGGAGGAAGGAAGGAAAGACCTTGCAGCCTACGGACAGTTTCTGCTGGAGAAAAGAATTAGAATTTTCAGTTTCCCATTTCCTACAATGCTTTGTTCTGTTCCAGAAAAGCTAGTCTAGTTGTTACCTACCACAACAGAATAGTAAATGCTACTAGGAGCTAGAAGGAATTAGAGAAAACTGCAATCCCCACCCATTTCTTTCCAGTTCTGCAAATCTGAATGTAATCTAATCTGATTTGGATGAAATATGAGTGCAGATTGCACACCATAACTATAAACAGATGATCATCTTAATTCAAAGTCACCAGCATTGTTTTTTAGAAAACAGCTAAGCTAACCCTCAAATATAATATTATTTTAACTTTCATATAATATCAAAAATTTAATGAGCAATGTCTGTATACCTAGAGATATAGGGAACACAATTACTGGAAAATGACTATAAACTCATCATTTGTCTTAAATCATGAAGGAAAGCAGTGAATGTTCAGTGATAATTTCCATGCCATTACTATTTACACTTCAATACTTTTTTTAAAAAAAAAACACTAGTTGATAATCTTAAGCAATCATTACATTATTTTTCCATCAAACTAAACATGTACTGTATATCATGTTTACCAGAACTGCGTTCATCTTAACAATTTAGATAATTTGTTTGGTCTCATCTGCCTTATTTGGGATTACAGTAACTGGACAATCATTAGAAAATCATGAATGCTTAAGATTCTGTGTATTATATTTGTTGTAATATCATTCTCTTTCAATCCCCATTGACCACTCTCAGGTTTGCTAACTGCATAATGTACACAGAAATTCAAGTAATCTCCTTGTAATTTGCAGCATGAGGCTCTTATGCACTCACTTGGATGTAAGTAAACTTTTCACCAAGTCATCCCACTGAGAATTGCTTCTCAGACTGCAGTTGGTGGAATGTTAGAAAAGTTTAAAGGCAAAGAGAATTGTGTATTACAAAGTAAAACTGAACTAGCTAGGATGGACATTTTTATAAGGAAGAAACATTCCAGGTTCTCTAACATGAATACTGAGGAGACTGCAGTATCGATCTCAACTGTTCATTAAATGCATGTTGGCAAACCTGAAAAAAAATTCTGTCTGCCTTAAGGATAATATTAATTTAAATTTAATTTTAATGAGGCAACTTCTGAAAGCAGCAACATCATTTTTTCAGGTTTGCACAGAAGCTTGAAACAGATGGCTGCTTTAATGCATAAAAGAGAGATGTTATGTTCATGTGAAATCCCATGCACAATTTCCAATAATTTTCACACTGTGCACAGCCCTAACAGTTATCCTTTCCAAGCTGTTATCCAATGGGTTTTTATACCAATATATTTTAACATCGCTTAGTTTCAACACATGGGCAAGAAATGTACACCTCTGAAATCTCATTTGATTGCTCACTACCAAGATACCTGAAACGTT